GCTTGCGTAGCGACAGCCGAATAATAACCATCAGACAGAGGGATGACTTTTGGCTGTCCACCTTGTTGGACCCTCGCTACCGTTCAAAAATGGTGGCCTTTTTTGCCCCTGCTGAGAGGGAGGCCAAAATAACGTACTATAAAAACCACCTATGTAGTCAGTTGGTCTCTGCCTTTCTGCGCCAACGTCCATCCTCAGACACTGTGGGCCCTGTGCGCTCGCGTTCCGCTGCCATGGCAGCAGGGGAGGGGTGGGGTGGTAGGAGCAGTGGCAGCTCCACCAGCAGCGGCTGCCTCAGTCTGCAGTCGATGATGAGTAGCTTTCTTCACCAGCGCAGTGAGGGAAACTACTAACCAGCCGCAGCAGCAGCAGCATCAGGTGGACCTGGAGCAGGACCTCAAACAACAGGCTTGGGCCTACTTGGACAGCACCCTGCCAACCGAGGTAGACAATCCCCTTGACTACTGGGCAACGAAACTTGACCTTTGGCCCCAACTAGCTGAATTTGCCCTTGAAAGGCTGTCATGCCCGGCCAGTAGCGTGGCATCGGAGCGCGTGTTTAGTGCGGCAGGAGGTATTGTAACTCCGCGGAGGACACGACTGTCCACCCAAAAGTGTGGAGAGACTCACGTTTGTGAAAATGAATCAGGCGTGGATTAGTCTGGATTTCAAACCACCAGTTCCTGACACAACTGACTAAATCCGCCATGAATCATGCCCCAAACATGTGCCACTTTCAGGTCTCCTCACACACTGCTGGTGTGTTCCATTTTTTGTCATAGGGTGCTGGCAGATTACGGGCCTCCCATTGCTGCTGCCAGGCCCGTAATCTGCCATGGGCCCCTGTACCGCCTCCTCATGCTGCTGCTGCTGCCAGGTCCAGAGTGTCTCATGGGTCCCTGTACGGCCTCCCATTGCTGCTGTCTCCATCGCCACACTCTGCCATGTGCCACTTTCAGGTCTCCTCACACTGCTGGTGTGTTCCATTTTTTGTCATAGGGTGCTGGCAGATTACGGGCCTCCCATTGCTGCTGCCAGGCCCGTAATCTGCCATGGGCCCCTGTACCGCCTCCTCTCATGCTGCTGCCAGGTCCAGAGTGTCTCATGGGTCCCTGTACGGCCTCCCATTGCTGCTGTCTCCATCGCCACACTCTGCCATGTGCCACTTTCAGGTCTCCTCACACTGCTGGTGTGTTCCATTTTTTGTCATAGGGTGCTGGCAGATTACGGGCCTCCCATTGCTGCTGCCAGGCCCCGTAATCTGCCATGGGCCCCTGTACCGCCTCCTCATGCTGCTGCCAGGTCCAGAGTCTCTCATGGGTCCCTGTACGGCCTCCCATTGCTGCTGTCTCCATCGCCACACTCTGCCATGTGCCACTTTCAGGTCTCCTCACACTGCTGGTGTGTTCCATTTTTTGTCATAGGGTGCTGGCAGATTACGGGCCTCCCATTGCTGCTGCCAGGCCCGTAATCTGCCATGGGCCCCTGTGTACCGCCTCCTCATGCTGCTGCCAGGTCCAGAGTCTCTCATGGGTCCCTGTACGGCCTCCCATTGCTGCTGTCTCCATCGCCACACTCTGCCATGTGCCACTTTCAGGTCTCCTCACACTGCTGGTGTGTTCCATTTTTTTGTCATAGGGTGCTGGCAGATTACGGGCCTCCCATTGCTGCTGCCAGGCCCCGTAATCTGCCATGGGCCCCTGTACCGCCTCCTCATGCTGCTGCCAGGTCCAGAGTGTCTCATGGGTCCCTGTACGGCCTCCCATTGCTGCTGTCTCCATCGCCACACTCTGCCATGTGCCACTTTCAGGTCTCCTCACACTGCTGGTGTGTTCCATTTTTTGTCATAGGGTGCTGGCAGATTACGGGCCTCCCATTGCTGCTGCCAGGCCCGTAATCTGCCATGGGCCCCTGTACCGCCTCCTCATGCTGCTGCCAGGTCCACAGTGTCTCATGGGTCCCTGTACGGCCTCCCATTGCTGCTGTCTCCATCGCCACACTCTGCCATGTGCCACTTTCAGGTCTCCTCACACTGCTGGTGTGTTCCATTTTTTGTCATAGGGTGCTGGCAGATTACGGGCCTCCCATTGCTGCTGCCAGGCCCGTAATCTGCCATGGGCCCTGTACCGCCTCCTCATGCTGCTGCCAGGTCCAGAGTGTCTCATGGGTCCCTGTACGGCCTCCCATTGCTGCTGTCTCCATCGCCACACTCTGCCATGTGCCACTTTCAGGTCTCCTCACACTGCTGGTGTGTTCCATTTTTTGTCATAGGGTGCTGGCAGATTACGGGCCTCCCATTGCTGCTGCCAGGCCCGTAATCTGCCATGGGCCCCTGTACCGCCCTCCTCATGCTGCTGCCAGGTCCAGAGTCTCTCATGGGTCCCTGTACGGCCTCCCATTGCTGCTGTCTCCATCGCCACACTCTGCCATGTGCCACTTTCAGGTCTCCTCACACTGCTGGTGTGTTCCATTTTTTTGTCATAGGGTGCTGGCAGATTACGGGCCTCCCATTGCTGCTGCCTGCCAGGCCCGTAATCTGCCATGGGCCCCTGTACCGCCTCCTCATGCTGCTGCTGCCAGGTCCAGAGTCTCTCATGGGTCCCTGTACGGCCTCCCATTGCTGCTGTCTCCATCGCCACACTCTGCCATGTGCCACTTTCAGGTCTCCTCACACTGCTGGTGTGTTCCATTTTTTGTCATAGGGTGCTGGCAGATTACGGGCCTCCATTGCTGCTGCCAGGCCCGTAATCTGCCATGGGCCCCTGTACCGCCTCCTCATGCTGCTGCCAGGTCCAGAGTGTCTCATGGGTCCCTGTACGGCCTCCCATTGCTGCTGTCTCCATCGCCACACTCTGCCATGTGCCACTTTCAGGTCTCCTCACACTGCTGCTGGTGTGTTCCATTTTTTGTCATAGGGTGCTGGCAGATTACGGGCCTCCCATTGCTGCTGCCAGGCCCGTAATCTGCCATGGGCCCCTGTACCGCCTCCTCATGCTGCTGCTGCCAGGTCCAGAGTCTCTCATGGGTCCCTGTACGGCCTCCCATTGCTGCTGTCTCCATCGCCACACTCTGCCATGTGCCACTTTCAGGTCTCCTCACACTGCTGGTGTGTTCCATTTTTTGTCATAGGGTGCTGGCAGATTACGGGCCTCCCATTGCTGCTGCCAGGCCCGTAATCTGCCATGGGCCCCTGTACCGCCTCCTCATGCTGCTGCCAGGTCCAGAGTCTCTCATGGGTCCCTGTACGGCCTCCCATTGCTGCTGTCTCCATCGCCACACTCTGCCATGTGCCACTTTCAGGTCTCCTCACACTGCTGGTGTGTTCCATTTTTTGTCATAGGGTGCTGGCAGATTACGGGCCTCCCATTGCTGCTGCCAGGCCCCTAATCTGCCATGGGCCCCTGTACCGCCTCCTCATGCTGCTGCCAGGTCCCAGAGTCTCATGGGTCCCTGTACATGGGTCCCTGTACGGTGCCACTTTCAGGTCTCCCACTGCTGGTGTGTTCCTCCATCATAGGGTGCTGGCACATTACGGGCCATGCTGCTGCTGGCTGCCAGGGCCTCCCATGCTGCTGCTGCCAGGCCCAGGTCTCCATGGGTCCCAGTGTCGCCTCCATTGCATGCTGCTCCATGGTCCACTTTCAGGTCTCTCATGGTGTGTTCCATTTTTTGTCATAGGGTGCTGGCAGATTACGGGCCTCCCATTGCTGCTGCCAGGCCCCTAATCTGCCATGGGCCCCTGTACCGCCTCCTCATGCTGCTGCCAGGTCCACAGAGTGTCTCATGGGTCCCTGTACGGCCTCCCATTGCTGCTGTCTCCATCGCCACACTCTGCCATGTGCCACTTTCAGGTCTCCTCACATGCTGGTGTGTTCCATTTTTTGTCATAGGGTGCTGGCAGATTACGGGCCTCCCATTGCTGCTGCCAGGCCGTAATCTGCCATGGGCCCCTGTACCGCCTCCTCATGCTGCTGCCAGGTCCAGAGTCTCTCATGGGTCCCTGTACGGCCTCCCATTGCTGCTGTCTCCATCGCCACACTCTGCCATGTGCCACTTTCAGGTCTCCTCACACTGCTGGTGGTGTGTTCCATTTTTTGTCATAGGGTGCTGGCAGATTACGGGCCTCCCATTGCTGCTGCCAGGCCCGTAATCTGCCATGGGCCCCTGTACCGCCTCATGCTGCTGCCAGGTCCAGAGTCTCTCATGGGTCCCTGTACGGCCTCCCATTGCTGCTGTCTCCATCGCCGCCACACTCTGCCATGTGCCACTTTCAGGTCTCCTCACATGCTGGTGTGTTCCATTTTTTGTCATAGGGTGCTGGCAGATTACGGGCCTCCCATTGCTGCTGCCAGGCCCGTAATCTGCCATGGGCCCCTGTACCGCCTCCTCATGCTGCTGCCAGGTCCAGAGTGTCTCATGGGTCCCTGTACGGCCTCCCATTGCTGCTGTCTCCATCGCCACACTCTGCCATGTGCCACTTTCAGGTCTCCTCACACTGCTGGTGTGTTCCATTTTTTGTCATAGGGTGCTGGCAGATTACGGGCCTCCCATTGCTGCTGCCAGGCCCGTAATCTGCCATGGGCCCCTGTACCGCCTCCTCATGCTGCTGCCAGGTCCAGAGTGTCTCATGGGTCCCTGTACGGCCTCCCATTGCTGCTGTCTCCATCGCCACACTCTGCCATGTGCCACTTTCAGGTCTCCTCACACTGCTGGTGTGTTCCATTTTTTGTCATAGGGTGCTGGCAGATTACGGGCCTCCCATTGCTGCTGCCAGGCCCGTAATCTGCCATGGGCCCCTGTACCGCCTCTCCTCATGCTGCTGCCAGGTCCAGAGTCTCTCATGGGTCCCTGTACGGCCTCCCATTGCTGCTGTCTCCATCGCCACACTCTGCCATGTGCCACTTTCAGGTCTCCTCACACTGCTGGTGTGTTCCATTTTTTGTCATAGGGTGCTGGCAGATTACGGGCCTCCCATTGCTGCTGCCAGGCCGTAATCTGCCATGGGCCCCTGTACCGCCTCCTCATGCTGCTGCCAGGTCCAGAGTGTCTCATGGGTCCCTGTACGGCCTCCCATTGCTGCTGTCTCCATCGCCACACTCTGCCATGTGCCACTTTCAGGTCTCCTCACACTGCTGGTGTGTTCCATTTTTTTTGTCATAGGGTGCTGGCAGATTACGGGCCTCCCATTGCTGCTGCCAGGCCCGTAATCTGCCATGGGCCCCTGTACCGCCTCCTCATGCTGCTGCCAGGTCCAGAGTCTCTCATGGGTCCCTGTACGGCCTCCATTGCTGCTGTCTCCATCGCCACACTCTGCCATGTGCCACTTTCAGGTCTCCTCACACTGCTGGTGTGTTCCATTTTTTGTCATAGGGTGCTGGCAGATTACGGGCCTCCCATTGCTGCTGCCAGGCCTGTAATCTGCCATGGGCCCCTGTACCGCCTCCTCTGCTGCAGGTGCTGCCAGGTCCCATTGTGCTGTCTCATCGCCACACTCTGCCATGTGCCACTTTCAGGTCTCCTCACACTGTGGTGTGTTCCATTTTTTGTCATAGGTGCTGCAGATTACGGGCCTCCCATTGCTTGCCAGGCCCTAATCTGCTGTGTACCGCCTCCTCATAGCTGCTGCCAGGTCCAGAGTTCTCATGGGTCCCTGTACGGCCTCCCATTGCTGCTGCCAGGCCCGTAATCTGCCATGGGCCCCTGTACCGCCTCCTCATGCTGCTGCAGGTCCAGAGTGTCTCTCATGGGTCCCTGTACGGCCTCCCATTGCTGCTGCTGTCTCCATCGCCACACTCTGCCATGTGCCACTTTCAGGTCTCCTCACACTGCTGGTGTGTTCCATTTTTTGTCATAGGGTGCTGGCAGATTACGGGCCTCCCATTGCTGCTGCCAGGCCCGTAATCTGCCATGGGCCCCTGTACCGCCTCCTCATGCTGCTGCCAGGTCCAGAGTCTCTCATGGGTCCCTGTACGGCCTCCCATTGCTGCTGTCTCCATCGCCACACTCTGCCATGTGCCACTTTCAGGTCTCCTCACACTGCTGGTGTGTTCCATTTTTTGTCATAGGGTGCTGGCAGATTACGGGCCTCCCATTGCTGCTGCCAGGCCCGTAATCTGCCATGGGCCCCTGTACCGACTCCTCATGCTGCTGCCAGGTCCAGAGTCTCTCATGGGTCCATGTACGGCCTCCCATTGCTGCTGTCTCCATCGCCACACTCTGCCATGTGCCACTTTCAGGTCTCCTCACACTGCTGGTGTGTTCCATTTTTTGTCATAGGGTGCTGGCAGATTACGGGCCTCCCATTGCTGCTGCCAGGCCCGTAATCTGCCATGGGCCCCCGTACCGACTCCTCATGCTGTGACGTTTGCAACAAGGTGGAATTCAACCCTACATATGTTAGACTGCCTTTACGAACAGCGAAAGGCCATCACAGATTTCCTGATGTTACAAGCGGATAAAGGTACTCCCTGTGTAACTTAGATGTCAGCCATTGGCAGCTCATGCGTGACACCTGCCGCTTGCTCAGGCCCTTTGAGGAGGCCACGCTATTCGTGAGTCGGCAGGACTATGGGATGAACGATGTCATTCCTCTGTTGCACGTCCTGGAACAAATGCTGTTAACAATGGTGGTCAGGGTGCGGTAGACGTGGCGCACAGATCTCAACGCCACATGACCCCTGTTGGGGGCAGGACAGGAAGAAGAGGAGGAGGTAGAGGAGGACATTGGTGCTCAGGAATTATTGAGTGAAATGGGTGGTTTTTCCACTCAGCGGACAGGAGTGGAGGAGCAGGAGCATCTGGTAGAGGAGGAGGAGGAGGAGACAGAGGACCCAGACGCACCGTGGCAGTATGCTGTGGAGATGGAGGCAGGGAGTCCCTCGCATTCCTTGGCACAAATGGCCCATAGCATGCTCGGTTGCTTGCGTAGCGACAGCCGAATAATAACCATCAGACAGAGGGATGACTTTTGGCTGTCCACCTTGTTGGACCCTCGCTACCGTTCAAAAATGGTGGCCTTTTTCACACCTGCTGAGAGGGAGGCCAAAATAAAGTACTATAAAAACCACCTACAGTTGCAAGAAAAAGTATGTGAACCCCTTGGGATTACGTGGAGTTTTGCATGAATTGGGCATAAAATGTGCTCTGAACGTCATCTAAGTCACAACAATAGAAGAACACAGTCTGCTGAACATAATACTACACAAACATTAGATGTTGCCATGGTTTAATTGCACATAACATGTAAACATTCACAGTGCAGGGAGGAAAAAGTATGTGAGGCCCTAGCTTAATGACTTCTCCCAGAGCTAATTGGAGCCAGGAGTGAGCCAACCTTGACTCCAATCAGTGTGATGATATTGGATGTGTTGCTGACAGCTGTCCTGCCCTTAAAAAACACACACCTGTTTTGGGTTTACTGGTTTCAAGAAGCACTGTCTGATGTGAACCATGCCTCGCAGAAAAGAGCTCTCAGAAGACCTACGATCAAGAATTGGTGACTTGCATGAAGCTGGAAAGGGTTACAAAAGTATCTCCAAAAGCCTTGATGTTCATGTGTCCACGGTAAGACAGACTGTCTACAAATGGAGAAAGTTTAGCACTGTTGCTACTCTCCCTAGGCGTGGTCGTCCTGTAAAAATGACTGCAAGAGCACAGCTCAGAATGCTGCATGAGGTAAAGAAGAATCCCAGAGTGTCAGCTAAAGACCTACAGAAATCTCTGGCACATGCTAACATTTTTGTTGACACATCTACAATAAGGAAAACATTTAAACAAGAATGGAGTACATGGGAGGACACCATGGAGGAAGCCATTGCTGTCCAAAAAGAATATTGCAGCACGTTTGAAGTTTGCAAAAGAGCACCTGGATGTTCCACAGCACTACTGGCAAAATATACTGTGGACAGATGAAAACCAAGATTGAGTTGTTTGGGAAGAACACACAACACTATGTGTGGAGAAAAAAAGGCACAGCACACACCAACATCAAAACCTCATCCCCACTGTGAAACATGGCGGAGGGAGCATCATGGTTTGGGGCTGCTTTGCTGCCTCAGGGCCTGGATGGATTGTTGTCATTGATGGGAAAATGAATTCCAGAGTTTATCAAGACATTTTGCAGGAAAATGTACACCATCTGTCCGCCAATTGAAGCTCGGCAGAGGATGGGTGATGCAACAGGACAATGACCCAAAGCATACAAGTAATTCAACAAAACAATGGCTGTAACAGCACAGAATACGCCTTCTGGAGTGGCCCAGTCAGAGTCCTGACCTCAACCCCATTGAAATGCTGTGGCATGACCTTAAGAGAGCGATTCACACCAGACATCCCAAGAATATTGCTACACTGAAACAGTTTTGTGAAGAGGAGTGGTCCAAAATGACTCCAGATCGTTGTGCAGGTCTGATCTGCAACTACAGGAAACGTTTGGTTGAGGTTATTGCTGCCAAAGGAGGGTCAACCAGTTATTAAGTCCAAAGGTTCACATACTTTTTCCTCCCTGCACTGTGAATGTTTACATGTTATGTGCAATTAAACCATGGCAACATCTAATGTTTGTGTAGTATTATGTTCAGCAAACTGTGTTCTTCTATTGTTGTGACTTAGATGACGTTCAGAGCACATTTTATGCCCAATTCATGCAAAACTCCACGTAATCCCAAGGGGTTCACATACTTTTTCTTGCAACTGTATTTAGTCAGCTGGTCTCTGCCTTTCTGCGCCAACATCCATCCTAAGACACTGTGGGCCCTGTGCGCTCGCGTTCCGCTGCCATGGCAGCAGGGGAGGGGTGGGGTGGTAGGAGCAGTGGCAGCTCCACCAGCAGCGGCTGCCTCAGTCTGCAGTCGATGATGAGTAGCTTTCTTCACCAGCGCAGTGAGGAAACTACTAACCAGCCGCAGCAGCAGCAGCATCAGGTGGACCTGGAGCAGGACCTCAAACAACAGGCTTGGGCCTACTTGGACAGCACCCTGCCAACCGAGGTAGACAATCCCCTTGACTACTGGGCAACGAAACTTGACCTTTGGCCCCAACTAGCTGAATTTGCCCTTGAAAGGCTGTCATGCCCGGCCAGTAGCGTGGCATCGGAGCGCGTGTTTAGTGCGGCAGGAGGTATTGTAACTCCGCGGAGGACACGACTGTCCACCCAAAGTGTGGAGAGACTCACGTTTGTGAAAATGAATCAGGCGTGGATTAGTCTGGATTTCAAACCACCCGTTCCTGACACAACTGACTAAATCCGCCATGAATCATGCCCCAAACATGTGCCACTTTCAGGTCTCCTCACACTGCTGGTGGGTTCCATTTTGTCATAGGGTGCTGGCAGATTACGGGCCTCCCATTGCTGCTGCCAGGCCCGTAACCTGCCATGGGCCCCTGTACCGCCTCCTCATGCTGCTGCCAGGTCCAGAATCTCTCATGGGTCCCTGTACGGCCTCCCATTGCTGCTGTCTCCATCGCCACACTCTGCCATGTGCCACTTTCAGGTCTCCTCACACTGCTGGTGGGTTCCATTTTTTGTCATAGGGTGCTGGCAGATTACGGGCCTCCCATTGCTGCTGCCAGGCCCGTAATCTGCCATGGGCCCCTGTACAGCCTCCTAATGCTGCTGCCAGGTCCAGAGTGTGTCATGGGTCCCTGTACGGCCTCCCATTGCTGCTGTCTCCATCGCCACACTCTGCCATGTGCCACTTTCAGGTCTCCTTACACTGCTGGTGGGTTCCATTTTTGTCATAGGGTGCTGTATGGCCTCCCATTGCTGCTGCCTCCACCGCCGCACTGTGGCTCCACTCTCTGGTTTTGGCCCCGTGACTGCCCAAATGAGTGAAGTGTGCGGTGATTCTAAGATCGACGGCACTCATCTGCATGTCATACTGACTGACAGTATTTTTTCTCTTCCCCAGCAGACTCCAAGGGCATTTAAATTAAAGGTACAGTGTTCTGCACTAATATAAAGGCTCTCTGAAGCCTAGAAACACCCTTTTATAAGTTAAAATCGCAGCGAATATATTCGCATCGAATCGAATTTATTCCTCGAATTCGCCGAATCAGCCGAATCGAATTTTTGAATACTTCGCTCATCTCTAATCATCAGCAAAAATACATACCTTGCCGAACAACCTTTTAATTCAGAGGTGCTGAGTTCAAATTTATGAAGGTCCGATCAATAAAATTTTCTTTTAGCAGAGTTCTAAATCACATGTTTGTGCAAAGACTCAGATCATTCCCATTATACCCCCCATTATATCACAATCCTGTTCTAATATCATTGTCCTCAGTCCCCCACTTCACATCACAGTTTTCTCTTTAGAATAGTTTTCTCAGGCCCCCTTCACATCAACCCAATCCCCCTTTCACAGTAGTAATGTTCTGAGTGTCCTCAATCCCCTTTCAAATCATCACCCCCCCCAGAGTACTGCCTTCTACCCCTTCACAAATCATCAACCCCCTCCCCCCACACACACACAGAAAGCATTGTCTCCTTTCACATCACCCCTCACAGCACTGCCGCCATTTACATCACCCAGCCCTTCTGCACATCACCTGCCACAGCCCTGCCCCCTCACATCACAAGCCCCCTCCGCAAACACACACACTCAAGTAGTGTGCTCTGTCCTCATCTCCATCCATGACACTGCCACCCTTCTCCCCACCCCCCGCAGCACTGCCCCTTCACATCACCCACCCCCTCTTCACATCAGCCCCCCACAGCACTGCCCCACTTACATCACAAATCACACACATGCAGTAGTGTGCTCTGCACTATTCACATGACCCCCACAGCCCCCTTCACACCCTCACAACACTGCCCCCCCCAAACATCAACCACCCACCCTTTACATCACTCTCCCACAGCACTGCCATTTCTCATCACGTGTCCCATTCACATCACCCCCCACTGCACTGCCCCCTAAATACATAACCCCCCCATTGCACTACCCCCTACTGCACTGCACCCCTCACATTGCAAACACCCCCTCCCACCAACGATAGTGTGCTCTGCCCACTACACATCACCCCCCACAACACTGCCTCTCTTCACACTCTCACAACACTGCCCTCCCACACATTACCCACCCACCCTTTACATCACAGCACTGCCCCTTTTTGCATCACCTGACACCTTCACATCACCCCCACTGCACTGCCCCCTATTTACATAACCCCTCATTGCACTACGCCCTACTGCACTGCACCCTTCACATCACAAATACCCCCTCCCCCCAACAGTAGTGTGCTCTGCCTGCTACACTTCAACCCCCACAGCCCTGTCTCTCT